GCCCCCAGGTGCCGGCGCGCCGGAAGGGGAGACCCACGGGCCCCCAACCCATTGTCGAAAACGTCGATCCGTTTTTTTCAACTGCCTTCGTGTATTCTCACGACCCGCTTTTGGGGCGCGGGTGGGGAAACGCTGGGAGAGTCGCGCGCGTGGGCAGGCCGTGCGCTGGCTGGTCCAGGGGTTCCCGGCCGTTTTAGGCTGGGGACCGGCAGCGAGCGGCATGCTACGACGGGCAGGTCGCCGACCCTTTTTGATACTCGCTATAAAAGGGCTGGCTGCCGGCCCGCAGTACGCCGGTCACTTCCAGTCTGCGGTTTGTCGGTCCACGGTCCCTTCCGGTCCGGCAGCCAACCCTTCCCGGGCCGCGGGGGACCCCTGGTCCGGTTCACGTGCAGATCGCTGACAGTTGACCAGGAGGGAGGATCTGGGCGGGTGCGAGGCCCCCCGGGGACTGCAGGGCTGTTTTCCTGTCCCTCGTCCATTCACGTTTTGCTGGGCGGTGTCCACCGACTCCTTGGCCTCGTTGGAGGGCCGGCGGGCATTGTCTGGCGTGCTCTGCGAAGCGTCCTCTTCTCTGGGCACTTGTTTTGAACCTACAACCTGCACTCCGGTGCCTATTTTGTCTTTGAGTTGTACCAAGTGATCACCAATGTGCCCTTGGCCACCCCTCTCATCAAGAGGGCTTATAGGTCTACTAGATGGGCTTTAGCCCACATTCCAGCACAGCGCAGCAAAAGGCCTCTCTGACAGCACCATACACCTGACCAGGAAGGAGGCTCTGGCCAGGAGGAGCCCCAGGGCTTGCACGGCTGTTTTCCAGTCCCTGGTCCATCCATGTCTCCAGGTGGAGTTTCACTGGGCAGTGCCGACTGGCTCCTTGGACTCGTTTGAAGGCCAGTGGGCACTGTCCTATGGACTCTGCTCAGGGTCTCCCCTTGACCTTCCCACTGTAGCTGCACATCAATTCTGCAGTTACTCTTATAGTTGAGAGCAGGCACCTCCCAGGCTGCTGTATAGCTCCATGAATGGTTTCAAGAGAAGACAAGCTTGCATCTGCATCTACCCTTCCTCCCTCTCTGAAAAACTGGGTGGCTCATGCCCAGTACCTTGAGCCCATGTAATAAGGCCCCTGACAACTCCATCTTTCATTTAGCTAAGGTGTCATCCAGGTGGTTGAACTACATAATCTTGGGAGGTCTCTTCCAGCTCTACTTTTCTATGATACCCTTTAAAGCCTATGAAGGCTGCTTTTTAATTGGGAAGATAACTTCCTGATTTTCTGTTGTTATTTATTCATAAAATACCCACGTTTCACTATGCAAATAATGAGCATTGGTCCAAAGTCTGCCCCCAGCGCTGCTTTATATGCCTTGCTTGTGCAAAGCAGCCTTCAAACCAGCTTAAAATTGACTGCCCTTGACAGGGGTGAGCCTGGGGATAAAAAGCTATGTCCAGATCACTACCATGCACTGGAATGGTTTCTGGTTGGAAGTTGCAGCTAGTGCAACCTAAAGGAGCTTTACAGCTACCCCAGATTGCTCCCTTGAGCTGGACCAGCAACCCAAGGAACAAGAAGATGCACAATCAGCTTGCGGATACCTCTGTGGGTCCTTCCCGCTTTAGTAACAATTAGTTCCAAGTGGCTGGTTCTGAGGAGCAGTCCCAATTAAAAAGCATCATTAACAGGCTCCAAACAATGTCAGACACCTGCTCAAATGTTCATAGCCTTTTTTTTCTATTAGGGAAGTTGTATCTCACTTCTGTTTCAAAGCAGTTGAGGTACCAAAATAATGGATGCGGCACAAGCACATAGACAGTTCAAGATTTCTATTTGCAATATATTTTTAGGTGACTGGCTGATGAGCTACTCTCTATATACGTATGTGTAGATCATAGCAAAGACCTAGGTGTGTTGTCTCTTTATGTGCCTTCTGTTCTGCAAAAAGTAAAATACCTTTCCAAGTGAGGCTCCAAATCAGCACTCTCAACTCTCCATTCGTTTTTGCTATGTTTTTACTTCTGCTGTTTTGCCTCTGGACAGGTGCTACATGGCCCTTTTAGAAACAAATGATTTCTAATAAAAAAGAGTTATCAAAATACACCTTGCAAAGAAAAAAGTACTATTCTGTGATTGTATCTCAGGATAAAATGTAGCTCAGATGACTGGCAAAAAAAGTGTGAATCAGAAGAGACCACTGAATCCACACAGCATAGGTCTTAGGTCTGTAGTATTAGAACTATTAACTGTCAAGCTTGCCTTTGAATGCCCATCATCCAAAAATATCTACCAGTTGTGCTAGCAAGCAGTATTGTTACAAGCACACTTGACTCGAATTAGGTTATCTGAAGTTGTTAGGAACCCACATTTCTGAGCCTGAGATGCTAATCAATTTTACTTTACTTTTAATCTGTATTTCTTACAAGCAAACTTGGTACTGTAACACTAGTCAGCCTTCCTTGGTGCCAAGACAGCACTGTTCCTGAGTATTTATTGAGACTAGAGAGATCAGTTGTTTAAAAATCTCCTAAGGAAAGTTCTTCAGTGAAAAGTCTTATAGTTTACCTGAAAATCTGATTGTAAGAACTGGAGGTTGTTGACTTAACAGGTTTTGGAGCCCACATTAAGTAGTCTGCAAGATTTTTTGTTATATATATAAAACAGCATCCCTCGTACTTAAATCCTTCTCTGCTCAAAGGGATCATTGTAACTTCAACAGAAAAATGATGGTTTCTCTACTCCCTCTTCTATAGTATTGTATCTTGCTGGCAGCTACAGTGGATATTCTAATGCTGATTGCTGTGCCTATCTGTAGATGAAGATGCTCCCTGGTGCGCTGTGTGTTAGTTATTAACAATCAGCTTCTCTCAGCATGGCAGAGTGGTGCATTAACTAGCTTACAATTATAATGGGAAAAGACATAAAAAAAAATTCTGCTGTGAAAATATAACCTTAATGGATCAGTGTGTGGCCTCCTTATAGCCTTTCTACTCTGCTTTCTAATAAGTTAATATTGACCTAAATTTCTTTGAGTATTTCCAATAATATATGGCGAAACATAATTGCTTTGGCAACTGTTACCATGTACAATTTCTGAATATTTATGAATTTTGTACAAAATTAATTAAGGCTATATTCTAAAACTATGTAATATGTAGTTTTCATTCCATCAAGGAACTTTGAATTAAATATTTTCAGGAGTGATTTGTGATAAAATTATAGTCTTTGCACTCCTTAGTTTCTTTTAAGAGTTCACTATTTTATATATGTTATTTTTGGAGTAAGAATTACTAAAAGACTCTGGAGAATGAATAACAATTGGGTTTACTAAGAAAGATAAGTGTATTTGCCTAAGTAGGTGAGAGATAATTCTGCTTGTGTTTATTGGCATAAAAACTCCACCCCGACACTGCTGCAGGTTATCACATGACAAACATAACACCACTAAAATAAACTCTCGCTGATTATCCTGCTAGTTAATGACAATTGCTACTAGCTTTACTCTCTTAGTAGTGCTGCAGTCACTACACTATACTGTAATATTTTAACATTTTAAAGAAATCCTTAGAGCAGTGGTTTTCAACCTTGGGGTCCACAGACTATGTCTAAGGGGTCCACAGAGGATGACTATGATCAATCAAAAGTATGCGAATACCCACACTTACAATTCAGAGGGGTCTGCACCTCCATTCAAATTTCCAGAAGGGTTTGTACCTCCATTCACAATGTTTTAGGGGGTTGCAAATGAAAAAGTGTTGAAAACCACTGCCGTAGAGGATGGCAAATAGGTTGCAGTCAGAGACATAGCTATACCTCACTAATTATAAGTGCAAGCAACATAAGCTAGAGAATAGAGATCCATCTTCCTGCTAAAGATAAATGATACTTGCAAGTGCTCTGAAAAGATAGCTATATGTGTATGTGGGTCTTCTCAGCTCTCATAAGCCATGTAAGTTTAAGACTGATCAGTGTTTAGATGGGAGATCCACAGAGAAAAACCATCAAGGGTGCTTCAAGAAGCAGGGCTGGTGATTCAGTACATGCTATGCTTCTGCTTAGAATTCAGTCTTATATTTTTGGGGACCTTAGACCTTAGAGAGAGGATATAAGAGCATGACCTGAGTCAATACTGAACCAAATATATAGCATATTGTTACTGGATGCTTTTTTCAGATGAGAAGTAACTGAGCTGAATACTTGAGGTTATCAGCAATTAAATTACCCTTTCTGGGAGGCAAGCCTCAAAGTCCTTGCCAAATTCAGGTTTGTAGGTCATATCCTTTGGTGGTAGAAATTTTTAATAGAGCCATTGAAGGCAACAGAACAATGACAACTAGTATGATTTGATGATCTTGCCCTGGATCTTCACTATATTTTTTACATACTTAAATCTCCCTGTAATATCAACTGGATAGAGTGTGTTTCAGTTCCTGCCCTAAACAGTGAGGTCACACTCCTATGAATTGTTAAATTGCTGTGGGCCAAAAATGGCAGTATTCATTAACAAGT